ATCTTACGTGACTCCGGGGGAACGACCAGCAGCGACGACCTGAAGCTTGCCGTGTCTGATTGATTACCTGGTTTTGGAGTTAGAGTTGTTATGCCGTTTGGGAGCTTGCGGTATGAACAATGCAACTTGCTGTGCACTATTGGGCAGCATTGTGAGTTGCGCATTGAGTTGCTGTGCACAGGGGCCACTCCTTTATCAAGTACAGTCAATCACGCAGTGCACTCAGTATGCGCTTGTGGTACACTTGCAATGCGGTCTGCTGCTTTTTGCTGTGAAAGTTGCTACATCACCGCATCGCTAAGTCCCGCACTTTGTATCATTAGGCACGAGATTATGGTGGTCGCATTGGTGGTTGTACGTTAGTCATGGTACTTTGCCGCTGCGTGCACTCTGACTAAGAGCATGGGAGTTACTGCTGCAGTTTTGGAGGGTGTCATCAGGGGACTGTTATTCCGCATTCTGGCCGTGAGTTGACCAAATTTCGCTGCGTTATTGGCCATCATTGCGGGGCCCTCAGGCCCATGAAGATTACAAGGCCCTCTCCCGTAAGTTGAGTTTGTCCTTCTCTTGTATCTCGAGCGTCTGAAACCCCTCCTTCTGCCTTTCTTACTCTCAAGTCTAGTCTGAGGTTATGAGAGGAAGGCGGCAGGCGGGATTACAACCCGTAGGACCGCAACAAGACCTTGTGGGAGGTCCACACATCGATTGCGGGAGCTCTGCCGGAGCCCAGGCGGGGTTCTGGAGGCAGGGAACACTCAGGTATAATGCTCGCCCTTAAACTATATTGCTCTTTGCTATTGTGTGCCTGTAAGTATGACTGAGAAAGTTAATTGCTTTTATTTGTTTTGAATTCAGGACATAATCTGAAAGATAAATTGGAAAATATATATGAGAAGTCAGATTATTTGAGTGAATTCAGACAAAACAAGAATGTGACATTACTTGTTGTTGTGTTGCGGAGGCCGAGCGAACGCATAAGTTGCGGGTTGTTCGGCCACACGCACATGTTGCTTGTTTAGGCGGAGCTAGACTACTCATAAGTGCGTAGCCTGGTTCTACGCTATATGTCATTGTTTGGGCTGACTAGTCACACCATAAGTTGGTGTGGTCTAGTTATATGCCTCTTGTCGTTTGTTCAGGCAAAGGTTGGGCCCCTCATAAGTTGAGGTGGTTCGGTTCCTTGTGTATGCCGAATGTTTAGGTTGACTAGCCTCACCATAAGTTGGTGTTGCCCGGTCATACACCTTATGTCGATTGTCTAGGCATAAGTTGGGTAGTTACACCATAAGTTAGTGTGGATCAGTCCTATGCCTTATGTTTACTTGTTTTGGCAGGCTAGTCACACCATAAGTTGGTGTGATCAAGTCATGAGTCGCAAACATAAGTGGAACCTGAGTATACAATCTGATATAACTATATACTACGTATATCATTGGCAGGCTGGACGCCATAAGTTGGGAGATCTAGCCTAGCAGATAAAGCAAAGGAGAAAATAAGATTCACAGTATAAAATTGAGTGGTAACTTTGGGCAGGCTGACTCATCCATAAGTTGGGTAGTTGGTCCTATGCCCCTGATAACACAAAGGGCAGAGAGATAATATAAAATTTGGCTATTTTTCTTTCTAAACATAAGTTGATGATTGGATGGGGAGCCTCATAAGTTGAGGTGACCTGACCACTCGTCTGAAGACAGAAAGAACTTGTGACTCTACTTATTGAATGTAGTTGTGTGGCGGAGGTTGAGCGAACGCATAAGTTGCGGGTTGCTCAATCACACTCGCTTGTTGCTTGTTTAGGCGGGCTAGACTACTCATAAGTTGAGTAGCCTAGTTCTACGCTATATATCATCGTGTGGGCTGGCTAGGTACATCATAAGTTGGTGTGCCTGGTCATATGCCTTTCATCGTGTTTAGGCAGAGGCTGGACCCCTCATAAGTTGAGGCGGCTCAGTTATTTGTATATGCCGAAAGTTTAGGCTGACCAGCCTCACCATAAGTTGGTGTGGCTCGGTCATACGCTTTATGTCACTCGTTCAGGCAGAGGCTAATCACATCATAAGTTGGTGTGGTGAGTTCTATGCCTTATGTTTATTCGTTGAACATGGTTGTATTGCGAAGGTTGGGCGGGCATTCGCGCATGTGGCTTTGTCTAGGCTGGGCTGGACTACTCGTAAGTTGCGTAACCTGGTTCTACGCCATATGTCACTGTTTGGGCTGGCTAGGCGCATCATAAGTTGGTGTGTTTTAGTCATATGCCTTTTGTCGTTGTTCAAGCTAAGGTTGGCACCTCATAAGTTGAGGAAGTTCAGTTCTTTGTGTATGCCGAACGTTCAGGTATAAGTTGGTGTGATTTGGTCCTATGCCCTACACGTATACTTGTGCTACCAGACTAGGGCAACATAAGTTGGTGTGGCCTAGTCATATAAACTGGCAAGTCAGTCACATACATAAGTTGGGTTGGCTGATCCTATGCCTTATGTAAGGAAGGGTAAAAGGGAATAACAAGAGTTTTTGAACGAACTATGCGGCCTGGAAAGGAACCTGAGGGTTGGCGAAAGATGTCGCACTCACCTGTGTATGCTTTGGGGCTATCTCTAGGGACTTCTCTTTTAATAGGTTAGTTGCTTTAGATGCTCGCTGAGTGTTGGAGCTATAGGTAGGAGAGATGGATGATGGGAGAGAGAGGGAGACTTGAGATAAGATAGGACTTACCTTACTAGGAGTTAGGATCGGTGTTAGCTCACGATGCCATCCTCAAGAAGGGATCGTGCAAACTATCTCCGGTTCTAACTATCAGATAAGTGTCGGAAGTTAGTCCCAAGTATAGTTGTGTTTTGTCTTTACATTTTCAACTTCGTATAAATCTTGACAGTCTCCTGTTCCTACGGGAAGCGCTACCGAAATTTTTACAAATTTGAAGGAGTTAGTCATTTTTGGACACTTGAAAATTATGAAAAGGCACTTTTCCTACGGAAAGCGCTGCCGGAATTTTGTAAAGTTTGGAGAGTTAGATTATTTTCTGCTAGGAAGAATTTGGCAATCAGCCCTGTCTAGGGGAGATACTGCCGGAATTTTCAGGAGTTTCTGTAAATCATTGAAAGAAGGTGAGGAAGAAAGTTAGTAGTGAAGTTACGCCTTGACACGGAGCATGTTCTCCTTAAAACATAGTATTAGTCCGTTTTGGCCTGAAATGTGTTGCAGGTCTACGAATTTGATTGAAGGTTTGAACTCGGCCTGACCCTACGAAGGATTACGTTTCTGTTATCTTTTGATAACAGGTCGATTTACGACACAACTTCCCTGCTTCTGCATCTCAACCTAAGGCCTTGGCTCGTGTGGGTTTTTATGTTTCTTAGGGTTTTCTCCCAAATTTCTTTTTTAAGTGGTCATTTCTAAAGACCGAGTACCTTTATTTGAGGGATGGTGGAAATTGGTTGGGGCTTGTATGCACAAGGTAGGGTGTGAGTCGCAAAATTGCAGTAAAGTTGACTCCCTTAGTGTGTGTGATGTTGTTGTTTGAACTTTGTGTGATCGCAGGTATGCTTATAAGATCTTTGAATTGAGCTTGGTGATAGTCTGAGTATTGTGTGAATGCAGATGGACAAGCCACACAACTGATGTGAGAGTGATCGTCTAATACTACACAAACTTCTGCATGACTTTTTGGACTACCCTTGTTTGGCCTAGCTATAATGGCTAAAGGGAACCCTACACTGGTTGTGAGAAGTGATAGTCCTGTATTTCATAACCCCTCGTATGCGTATATGTATACGCTCCCGCTTACACGTAAATATACGTTAAGTATCTGTAAGGTTCGTTGTGACCATGCACAAGAGTCAAACAGACTATGCCTCGAGAGAAAAGGGAAACCCTCTTTTTACCGGTTACTCTTTACAATTATTTTGGTTGGACGTTATAGTCCGTGGCAACCGTCAAAGTCAAACCCCTTGATGTCTCTCTAGGTCCTGGATGATGGAGCTTGCCTCCTAGGCCAAGAGAGTTGACTGCCACCACAAGCCGAAACTTGTGGACCACCCACTCTCCGCAAGGTGCAGAAGAGGGTGTGGTGATCAACCGCCTTGGCGGTTGTTTAGCGTCGAGAGGTACCCCTCAAGGCGCATGTCAGCCGGCAGTTGAGCGTCGAAACGTGACCCCCAAAATTATCGAGGGTCGCACGATTGTGGGTACCACATAATACTCCATCGTGGTGACTACGTGCGTATACTTGCATTGCTGGTCGATGTGAGAAAGTCATAGCGCTCGGGCGGTTTTATCTTGAGTCTCGTGCGCGACGCCTAACCGATTACCGTGTTAAAAGGTTATGGGTCGGACACTGAAGGGAATAGGAGAGTTTTGTTTTTGTGTGTGTATTTTAAATTTTCAAGTGTCGTGTAACGCGTGGTGAGTGGATTGCATCCTAGACGACCGACGACGAGTCGTGCTTGGGACCTCAGCCCCCCAATGCGTCGATTCCCGTGCGGGTCCAATTGAGGGGCGTTTGACCACGCGTACCCCCTATGCTACAGCAAACGAGAAACGCCCTCCATCGGGCCACCTCTGCGATTGCATACGAAAAGCTTTCGCACGTGGTTTGGTAGCTCGGCGGGGATACGCCCACTCAAGGGATGGTGACAGCTCCCGCGGGTGGAGGTACGCATGACCCTGTCCTGTCGTAGGGGCTCGCGAGAGGTACGGCTGACGCACTCAGCTGGAGCGGCAAACTGCGCTCTATGACGAAGTCCTGCAAAATCCTGCGTGACGCGGCCGAGAGGGTCCCCCTGCGGGACCCATGCGCGCGACAGCACAATCTCAATATTCGCGATCATCAGCTCACCCTTAGACTTAGCTTTCTTCACCCACGAACTCCGTAGTGCTATCAGTTCGCTGTCGAGCTCGTCAAGGGAACCGTCCGGTGAGACAAAACAAAGTATAGTGTCGGGGTGTTCTGGACGACAGGAGGAAGAAGAGTCATCCTCTTCCTTAAGAGTTAAAGGGGTAGAAGAGTTTATAGGCGCCTTACCTTTGTCTTCGTCTAATCCCTTCAACTCAGTAGGAGCAGATGCTAGTCCTACTGGCTGCTCGCTTTTAGGTTACGAATAAGCGGGCACCAAGCTATCACGTGCCCCACGGTGCCACACTTGAAGCATTGGCGATTGTCCATTTTGGACTGCCACTCCTCTCGTGTCATGTCCATTTTCTCCCAAGGTCTCCCGAATGCAATGTCGGGATGCTTGGGGAACGAGTGTGGCCTCCTCTTCTTCTTCCATTGGCCTTGGCCTCCCTTGTTAGCCATCACGGCAGTGACATCACCCTTCCCAAATTCACTGCTACCGTTATCTCCTCCTCCCGCGGACTCATCAAGAGGTAACTTTTCTACCGTATCATCATCAAATACTTCAAGCATGTGGTCCTGGAGCTTTTGCCGCCAAAGGACCCATTTGCCATAACCACCAACCGGTCCTGACTTTACCACCGAAGCGTAAGACCCCTTTACCTGTGCGATCATTTGCTCTAGTTGGAGGGCGAGATCTTGAAACTGTCGATAGTTAAACTTACCATACTTGGCTTCTGCCACGAGCTGTCCGCGAATGGGCTCGGACAGTGCACGTGAGTATATATACAGAACCTGGTTGTCCTGTAGATTCAACCCATGTACTTGCAAAAGACGGTCAACTTCACGTGACAACGCATCTACTGAAGTCCAACGTTTCTGGCCGATTGTGATGAGTTCGTCGAAGTCCTTATCGGTCGTCGTCTTGTCAAGAAATCTCTCCTTGATCTTTTGGAGAAACTGCTTGAGATCAAGGGTCTTAGCCCACTCACCGATATCCTCAAAACCAGAAGCATTGGCTTCGGCCAACACCCATTCCTTGGCCACTCCTCCCAGACAAGACGTGGAGAAAGCGACCTGACTCTGAGGCTCAACAGGTGCGGTGCTACAGTAAGTCTGTATCTCGGCGATCCGTAACAACCAGTTTTCATCCTTCTTGTTGTTATATGTAAACGACAATTTCATTCTGACCTTTTCTTTCTTTTTCGGCTTCTCCGCTTTTTTGACTGGTTCCTCTTTCTTGGTGGGTTCTTCTTTCTTCTCGGCCGGTCTCTCAGGTTCTTTCTTAGAACCTTCGACTTTGTCTGGCATCGCTCGCTTCATGGCATCCTTCAATAACTTCTCTTGGGGTTTTTCTTCTTTACTAACTCCCCCCTGGTCGCCTCCTCAACTCCTACCTTGTCATTTCCTTTTAAGAGTCTGGTCACTGTCTCAAACGAGGCAGTGTTACGATCAATCTTCTTTTCGAGACAAACAAGATTGATCATGATGGACTGAAGGATGGATGCAAGCTCGCTCATCGTAATGAAATATTTGTCTTAATTCATTCATTATTCGTTCTTCTTCTTCCTGCGCTTCTTGTAGTTTTCGGAACTCCTCGATCTTTGTGACGTGACCGAGGCAGAGCAGAGAGGTTGAGGGAGAGGGAGAGAGAGGGGGAGAGTGAGGGAGAGAGTGAGAGCACACACACACACACACACACTCACTCGACTCGACACGACGGACACAGATACGAAGTGGCAAAGTCTCAAAGTCGCTAAGTCACAATCTTGGATTCCGAACACAAAGTCATGGCAAGTCAGAGTGAAGCACAAGCAATGAGGCCGAAGACTGAATGCCCCAACAGGGCTTGAGTCCGGACTTGAGTACCGGACTCAGGCTCAGTCTGGAGGGTCGAGGTGCGGCCTGCCTCAGGACTGAACTGAGGATCGCAGGTCTGGGTCTGGGCGCCAGAATGCCGGATGGCGCCAAGTATCGAAATCCGAAAATGCCAGTGGAGGAATTTGAGAACGGGCGCCAACTGCAAACGGCGCCAGCAGTCCAAAACCAGAAATCAGGAACTCGGAATAAAATAGCAGCCTGGCGGGTGGTAACCCACGGACCAGGGATCGAGCCCTGGCTGAGTCCATAAGACTATCCCCTCCCTCTGCCAAAAGTCATGAAACAATGCTGAAAACTACGGAGGACAAGACGGGGCCGATCACTGGTCAGCCAATCACAAGGGAAGAGGGGTATAATGCAGGCGTCTGGTTGTGTGATTAGGGAACAGGGCTTGTAATTGTGAGCTCGGAACAGGGTTGTTCTATTGATGAGCAAAGGGAACATGGTAGTTCTATTGATGAACTAAGGGTTTAGGGACAACGGGGAACAAGGCAATCCTACTGATGCTCTAAGGGTTTTGGAACTGCGGAATCAACTAAAGGTTTAGGGACAACGGGAAACGGGGTAATCCTACTGATGAACTAAGGGTTTTGGAATTGCGGGGAACAAGGTGGTCCTATTGATGAATTACGGGTTTTCAAGGGCATGGTTGCAAAATTTCTGAGTAGCGGTTATGCGAAAGTCTTGGGAACAGGTCTTGAGAAGAGTCGCAGAAGTATCGAGGAGGGAACAGTATTCAGTCATCTCAGGACATCGTCAACGAGGCTTCAGCTTGAATGTCCAAGTAGCATGAGGCGTCCGATAGTCTTGATCTGGTGCTAAGGTCTGATCCGGATGGCAGGTCACAGACTGATATTGATGTCCATGTCGAGGTTGCTGCTCCAGAAGTCTGCGAGTCCAATGTGTCGGCCAATGGGAACAGCATAGTGGCCAACCAGCTGCTTTATTTCCTCGAACTGAGCTGCAGTATGCCATCGTCCTCGTGCGCTTGCCATTAGATCCATTATTGTCGGCGGCGCACAGGGGCCACATAGGGAACTTGGACAAGAGAGACAAGGATGTGGAGGAGGACAGATGAGAGACCGGGGCAAAGTGGAGGCAAGAGCGGATCAGATAGGGAGGGTTCAAGAGGCAAGGGCTTTGCTGGGTACAGGGGTGTGTGTAGAGCAGGAATGCGGGGTTTGGGCGGGTTCGGGGCGGGATTTATGCAATGGTTCGGGTTTTGAGTTATAGTATGTATCTAGGATATAGGGTGAGCACGATCATAGGTGCGAACAAGCTTCATAGCATTCTTAAGGTTAGCAAAGGGTTCCCATGTAGATTCTCCCTCAGGGTATCCTGTCCATTTAACTTTGTATTATGTGATTGGTTCACGGTGGTCAGATACCTGAGTAGTTCTTCGTCCTATGATTGCTTCGACGACGAATTCAGGGTCTGGGGTTACATGATTGGTGGAGGTCCAGGATATGGGCGGTCAACGAATTGGGGTGGGGATTCATGGTATTCTTTTAGGTATTCAACGTGGAAGATCGGGTAACCAGCGAGCTTGTCGCGGGGTAATGTCTTTCTTTGTTAGGATAGAAGAGACAATGGTGTTATCCGTGCAGACAGTGAAGTATTGCCCCTCGAGGTATGGGCGCCAGACTTTGAGGGCGTGGATCACGACGAGGAGCTCCTCGTTGGAGGGGTAATTCATTTCCGCGGGAAGGAGTTTCTTGCTGATGAAGGCAATGGGGTATTCACCTGGTGGAGCCTCGGGGTGGGAAGGGGATTCCTTGATGGAGGGAGTTTCGGTGGTGTCACGAGGGAAATGTTGGGACAGGACGGCTCCAATGGCGAAGTCGGAGGCGTCGGTGGTGACGTAATAATGGCGAGTGGGGTCGGCAATCTTGAGGACGGGGGCGGTGGTGATGAGTTGTTTGATGGCATCGAAGGCACTTTGGCGGCGGTCGTTCCAAGTGAAGGGTTCGTCCTTGCGGGTGAGTTCGTGGAGAGGGTACGAGATGTTGGAGAGGTTGCAAATAAAGGGGCGGTAGTAGTTGGCAAGGCCGAGACATGATTGGAGTTGGAGTAGGGTCTTGGGAGTTGGATACTCGACGAGGGCGGTGACCTTCGATAGGTCCATGCGGTGTCGGCCCGAATACCCTTACAAGGGTATTTGGGCACACTTCTGTAGCTTACAGGAAGAACGCTTTTGACGATATCTAGGAGCGCGTCCCATTTTTGTTGATTAGAGAGTGTGTGAGCGTGCACTTTGTGGGCATGTGGCAGCCTGATCAAACGATTGACTAATATAGACTAGGAGACGAGTGTTGTTTGACCTACTGGAGGACGGCATTTGGGGACGCGCACTAAGTGAGTGTTAGTAATGGCTGTGTGCTAGTAGCGGTAGATGTCGTGGCAAAACTTCAGTTAGGACAGTGTGGGTCGGGGGCACAGTGAATAGAAGTCGGGGTCTTTCTAGCCCAAAGCCGGTACACCGGGCAATTCCTCGATGAGTGCGACGGAGTAGGGGAGCCCGGCCGTAGCCTTGGCATGGTGAGGCGGCACGCACGGCAAGCCAAGCAAGGTCGTGCCCTCCAAAGTAGCACGAGTGTGCCTGCGGGCCCTTGGACGTAGGCTATAGGTTAGAAAACCGCCTAGGAGCGCCGTCTGCAGGCCCAGGCTCGCCAACCGTGCCATTCACATACAAGGCAGCGCACAGCCAATCCAGGCTTGGGCTTAGCCCTATAGGTTACGTCACTGAACTTTCACCAGGCGGATCCCGGGATCGAGGCCAGCAGCGAGCAGTCGAGGAGCGCTACGGAGTGAACTGAGGGGTTGAGGGTCCCGCAGGACTATGCCCCTTAATTTTTGTTGGGGAGTCCGGCCGCGGGCCCGTGGGACAGGACCGAGGATCAGGTGTCAGCGGTCCTATTCGTTTTTCTAGAGTTTTATTTTTAAATTTTACGAATCCTTTATTCTAGTTTTTCCATCTGGGACACGGCCCGGTGCCGGTACCAGGACCGGCCGTGAAGCCCAACAGCCTAGTCTAGTGGATACACCCAGGAGCTGTTGAAATACAGACCCGAGTCCGGATCCAGATAGTGGCTCCGGATGAATACAACCGGATGTATCTGACCGCCTGGTATGCCTGGGGCCGGTCAGCTCAGTGGTGACACCATAGGGCCGATATCACGGCCTGATCCTTCGGGACATCCGTTAAAATTGGAACGATACAGAGAAGATTAGCATGGCCCCTGCTCAAGGATGATACGCATAAAGTCGGGGAGCAGCCCAACGCTTCAGTTCGTGGTATGGCATACGATGGCTGTCGTTGCTACGTCTCCCCTCGACCAAACTAATCGCTATAAGCGCTCCGCTAGGAAGGCACGCGAAGAAGACAATGGCGGGTTGGGCTTAAGAACGGAAGGAGGAAAGCGGAGGAGGAATGGAGTAAGGAGGGGAACAAAGAGGTGAAGAAGTAGGATAGCGGTGAGGGAATACAGGACGGACACGAGCATGGAGTGAACCTGGCGCGAATTCACGCCAGGTACATTCAAAAAAAGGTACAGCGGGGCGGACGAGAAGATGGGCATGGCGGGAGGAGAAACGCACACCGCGCTCGATTCTTGATAGAATAAAGCGAGGGGAGAGCCAACTTGAAGGTTGAGGCTAGGGCGAACTCGTAGGTGAAGTTAGTTTTAGAAGAAGGTTAGTAAAATAGGAGATGGTAGGGAAATGGGTTGCGCGATGGTGTCGGGGGCGGATATGGCAATGAATGAGAGATAAGGTAGCACTGCCATTCCTGACCGTTCGTCGCGAGTTAGGGGGTTAAACCGGGGGTTTGGTACTTTGCGAAGTGAATGGTGGTGGCGAATTCGGAGTTCGGGCAGCAGACTTGGGGCTGCGGACAGGAAGGAGAGCTTTTGAGGCGGGAATGTACCCGCCCTTATTCCGGCGGAACATTCATTCGAGACTTGCTCGCTCTGACAAGGGGTTAGTGTGAGGACAGCAGCAAGGTTGGGAACTTACCTGCCGGCCGAGGTATTTCGGCGGAAGAGTGATCAAACTCTTGCCCATCTTATTAGGGGACGTAGCCCCCTCTATCTCCCTCAACAGCACTGATGGCGGGCATGTACATCGAGGTACAGCGAGAGAGAGAGGCTGAGAAAGAGAGGGGGAGGATGTTTGCTTACCTCTAGAGCAGGTGGTATGGGACGAACCGGAAGTTGAGCCACGATGCCAAGCCGCGGTGTACCTGGCTGCTGACACTTCGGTCGATAGGATAAGACGGCCGTGAGCTGGAGACTTACCAAGCAGTATGATTGGCATTGCGAAGCCCCAACACGAGGAAGCAGTGTACCTCCCCGTCATCTATTGGAGGGCTCACGCCGACTTTTGGTCATCCTATCAAAGGGAAAGTCGAGCTACGGTGTGAAAGTTGCAGAAGTACGAGAGAGAGGGAGGGGAAGAGGTCACTTACCCGGGCAGAGAAGGAGGCGGGATTGGAGTGGCCAGTTTCGTACTCCGACGGTTGGGGG